CACGGGCTGCGCTAACAGGATTGTTCCAGCAGACCGATTATACTGGAAACAATTTGTTCCAATATCCTGTTGGAAATATTTTTGTAAATTAGACTAATTAGCAGAACATTTGAAGATACTTCTTCTTTGTTGAGACTGATGTTTCACTAATATTTCTAGTAGATGGTAGTGCATATATTAACCACTTGCCCTCCAGAGGATTTACCCCCCTTAATGACCACACCTCTTTTTGCTACTCGGCGCTGCACTAATTCAACTGATACTTGCGTGTGGTCATGCAATGCTGCACCCAAACGAAATTTACGTCCTTTTTTTCACACAAATAGAGCTTTTTTTTTCGGTGGTATTTGATCACCTTTTTATTTTTCACGCTATAAACAAAAAAAAGGCCAAACATTTTGAAGAAAAACAATATTTTTTACTTTCAGCTATAAAAAATATATAGTAAACTCAAAGTTAGTTATAATTTTAGGCCAAAATGTATTCTGCTCCATGTTTTTGGTAAAAATAAATCCCAATAAGTGTATATGTTTGTGTGGAAGTTATAGCGTCTACAATCTATGGTATAGATACTGCAATTTACGCCATTTTTTTGCTATACAGCGCTGCGCTAGTTTAACGGACAATTGCGAGGTCATGCAAAACGGTACATAAATGAAATTTACATCCTTTTTTTTCCCCACAAATTGAGCTTTCTTTCGGTGGTATTTGATCGCCTGTGCGGTTTTTATTTTTTGCGCTATAAAAAAAAAAGTGACAATTTTGAGAAAAAAAAACATTATTTTTGACTTTTTGCTATAAAACACGTCCAGTAAAAAAAAAAATTAAAAATCAAATTTAGTCATACATTTCTGCCAAAATGCATTCTGCGACATGTCTTTGCTAAAAAAAAAAACCAATACGTGTAAATTAATTGGTTTACGTGAAAGTTATAGCGTTTACAAATGGCGGGAAAGATACTGGGATTTTTAGTTTTTTTTTTTTTTATACTAATAATGGCGGCGACCAGTGACTTATGGCGGCGATCAGCGACTTATGGCGGTGATCAGCGACTTATGGCAGGACTGCAGCGGACACTCTGACATTGGGGGGTACTGACTTGGGGTCACTGACATCCCCAGTGACACCAATACAGTAATCAGTGCAAAAAAAAAAACACTGACACTGTACTAATGGCACTGGGTAGGAAGGGGTTAAGTTTATTATTCAGGGAAAGGATTAACTGTGTGAGGGGAGTGTTTTACTAGGGGGCGGGGGGTGTGTACTGCAGGGAACACTGCTGATCGGGGGAGAGAAACTCTTCCGTCCTGATCAGCGTGTCCTGGAGCTGTCAGGGAACTGACAGAAAGCACAGCTACTGCAGCTGTGCTCTCTGTCAGCGATTGCCGCCGATCGCTGGGATATAGCCGGTAACGACCGGATGTGACCCGGCGACTGATATCCGCGGCTGCCCCCTACCTGTTTTAAAAAAAACACACGTTTTAAAACATGGTTTTGCCTGCCCGTGCCGCCCTGCCGCCATATTTCTACAGTGGCTAGGTGGCATGTGGTTAAAGCAGTGAAAGAGCACATAAAGTGGTACTTTATTGTAACCAGTTATGAGTCATTGTTGCGATCTGAATTTATTTTTATTGAAAACCCGATACAAATGTAGAGGAAAGGCTATGCGTATCCACCTTTTGCACAAAATAAGACAGAAGACATCTTTGGGTGCCCCAAGGAGAGTAGTAGTGCGGCAGGTGTAGCGCCCTGCGGTGAACAGTGGATGTGACTAAATTGCATTAACAGCGGGAAAGGCATGGTTAAAAAAAAAAAAAAAAAAAACATTCTTGTACCTATAAAAACATACTTAGATTAACCCCTTTGTGCCTAAGAGTAAAACAAATGTTAATGCCTAAGCACAATTTTGCAACTTTGACATGTAAAAATTATATGATTGCAACTACTTTGTGCATCCATTTTGGTGGATTATACCTTGTTTTCAGGACAAATTGGGCTTTCATTTGGTGGTAAATGTCAATGAATATCTCCTGATTTCTCAGGCTTTTTTTTTTCATTATCAAAGAAAAACTGGAACAAAATAGTAACAAACCGCTTTTTTTTTAATTTAGCTGTATATTTCTTGCTCTACCATCCATAACCTACGACCAAAGAACAACCCATAATAAATTCTCCTGCTCCTGACAATTGCAGCTATACCACATATGTATATTTAGTTGTTTATATTAGGGATGCACCAAAATTTTGGCGGCCAAAACGCTTTTGCTGAAAACTCCCCTATCAGCTTTTGGCTGATATGAAAATAGGCACCGATACAGGTACCAAAAATAGCCCCTCCTGGTGGTTCTGAGGCTTACCTGAGAACCCATTTCAACGATCCCAGCAGCTTGGCATAGAGATCAGTGAAGGAAAGATGGCCTCCACTCATCTCTTTGCCCTTGGTGGACCAGAGCGACGTCATTACGTCACTTCTGGTTCCGGCGCCATGTAAACAAGGACTTTTTGTTTTGTTTTTTTAAAAGCACTAGAACCATACTTTTTTTTTTTTTATTATCTAATGCTTTACATTGTAGAGGAGAGATGTGGGGTCTTATTGACACCAGATCTCTCCATAAAGAGGACCTGTCACTGCTTATTTCTATCACAAGGGATGTTTGCAGCAATCTGCTCAGAAAACTGAAATAACATCAATTGGTTTAAACAGGACACATAACTGCTGTGCTGATGTCAATGTGCATAAAAACTCACTATGACAGGCATAAAAACTGATGTTAAAGTGATTTGCATGGTTTTCCCATCAGTTTTCATGCACATATGGTGTAAGCGAGCCCTAAGGTAACACTGGTAATGCAGGAAGATTTGGAATGCTCCTATTCTCAAATTAGAATATTTATTCTTGTTAGAACTAAGTGTTTTTTAATGTTCAGTAACCCCTATTTCTCATTGCACAGCACTGAAAAAAAGTCATTACAGTGTAGTAAACATAAGTTGGTATATAGCCCCCAGTGCCCTTCAGGTATTGCATGTGATTAGCCGAGATCGGCGCTTTTTTTAAGCTCTTTAAAGCTTCTGAAAGCTTGGACAAACTGATTAAATTCTGAAGTTTGAATGGCTGTAGAGAAGAGACGACTGTAGGTAAACAGGTACAACTTATATAGGAGGATTTTGTATCACCTGAGGTCAGCCACTTCACTGGGTATATGTAAGGGTTTACAACCACTTTAACTTGGAGGAATCCTTGAAATAGCTTTCAGGTCTTATGAACCCCTGCTAATAATTTACATTGGAAAGAAAGCTCCTTATGTTTGTGGTCCTTTAAGAATCTCCCCTTACAGATAAAATGGTTGTAAACCTCAGACATGAAACATGAACAAAGTATAAACCTCTATAGTGTGTACTTGCCTCAATCCAGAGCACTAAGTATCATTTCTTTCTGATGCCTTGTTCCTCACTTCAGTTATGTTTTCCTGACACCAAGAGATAAAAAGGTGACATTGGAGGGAACTGTCCCTTCCCTCCAATCAGCTTTCAATGAGCTCTGCAGAGTGTAACTTCAGCTGTCCACCCCCTGCTTCCTGAAAGCTTGGACAAACTGTATAAATTCTGAAGTTTGAATGGCTGTAGAGAAGAGAAGACTGTAGATAAACAGGTACAACTTATATAGGAGGCTTTTTCATCTCTGCGTATCACCTGAGGCCAGCCACTTCACTGGGTATATGTGAGGGTTTGCAACCACTTTAACTTGGAGGAATCCTTGAAATAGCTTTCAGGTCTCCCCTGCTAATAATTGCTCATGGTACATTGGAAAGAAAGCTCCTTATGTTTGTGGTCCTTTGTTAACCACCTCCCGTCCGGCCGTTGTATATAAACGGCCGGACGGTGGCACTGCAGGGTCGGGTGGCCGTTTATAAACGGCCTCCCTGCACCCTGCTTATGTGCGCTCCCCGGGAGTGCGCAGCACCACGATCCAGTGCCCGCTGTGTCCTCCGGACACAGTGAAACACCGATCGTCGGACGAGACCTCTGTATGAGTCCTGATCTGATCATGTGATCACTGATTGATTGGCCAATCAGTGATCACATGCAAAGTAGTAAGCAAGATGTCACTTCTGACATCATTGCTTACTACGTGTGAAATCTGTGAATGATCATAGAGGTCACATGGTACAAGGCTATTCACAGCAGCCTTGTACCATGTGACAAGCTGTGACCAATCACAGCTCACTCAGTAGTTCTCAATGGCTGCAAGAATGCAGACAGAGAGAAGGAGAAATGATTGCTTTTACATCCTATATGGGTGTAAAAGCAATCAGTGTAAAAAAAAATATATATATATCTTCATCACCCCCCAAAAGTAGTACAGTGTCACCATGGTGACGCTGTACTGCTAGGGTGACAGTATGTAAAAAATAAATAAATAAAAAATAATAATATAAAAAAAAAAAAAAAATGTAAAAAAAAAAAAGTTTAAAAATTATAATTTTTGGTTATAAACTAATTTGGCTTATTTTGTTTTAACTAAAAAGATAACGGAATAAATTTTGGCCAAGATTTATGCTGAAATATTATTTTATTTGCAAAATTTTATAAGAAAAACACTTTTTTTCAAAATTTTTAGACATTTTCATTTGCATAGCAAAAAAAAATAAAAATCCCAGGGTTGATTAAATACCACCAAAATAAAGTTTTATCTGTCTCAAAAAAAATGGTAAAAAATTCCTATGGGTACAGTGTTGCATGACTGCGCAATTGTCATTCAAAGTGTGATAGCGCTGAAAGCTGAAAAATTGGCCTGGACAGGAAGGGGGTGAAAGTGTCCGGACAGGAAGTGGTTAAGAATCTCCCCTTACAGATAAGTAAAAATATTGTTGTCGGTGGTTTCTTATCAAAAGTAGACTCATGTTTTGCTACATATAAAAGATTTTTTGAGCAATCGATCTGCAGTGATTTAGCGTTCCACTCACTGTTCCATTCTGCATTTTCCTCTGTTGCTTAAGTAGGTCGATTCTGTGCAGTTCCATGTATGGGACATGGGAGGCTCCGCTACAGTGGCAGCAGTGAACCAGTGCTTCCTTACAGACAAGGCCTTGTACGTCGTGGTGTGGAACCTGGCCCTGGGGGAGGAGGCCGTGTCCAATCTCCAGTACTGGCTTCTCAATATCGAGGTGAGACGATATTCTGCTGAATGTGGCATTCTTGCGTTCTGCCTCCTTTATGTTGATGATGATAAGAATATTATACAAGTAGAGATTAGTGGGGTCATTGTAATGAAGAATTTCAGGGAAGCTCTAAATTGTGCTCTTTATTTATTTTTATTTATTATTTCAGGTACTTATATAGCGCCATCAATTTACGCAACTTTACATATATATTGTACATTCACATCAGTCCCTAACCCTCAAGGGGTGTACAATCTAAGGTCCCTAACTTACATTCATACATACACATACTAGGGACAATTGAGACAAGAGATAATTCACCTACCAGCATGTCTTTGGAGTGTGGGAGGAAACCAGAGTACCAGGAGGAAACCCACGCAGGCACAGGGAGAACATGCAAACTCCAGGCAGGTGGTGCCGTGGTTGGGATTGCATTCCGGGGCATAGGCTGTGAATGCAGAATTCTTGCATTCAGAGCTTACATCTTTGAATGCATAGGTTCCTAATATGAAACCGTTCAGTACAGCATCCAGCTACCATGTTTTTCAGACTGTCATAGATGTTGACAGGCTGCTGGCGGTGGAGCTGGACCCTGCACTAGTGCCTCTTAGGTACCTAAAATGATAGGCCGAAGCACCTGTGTACATGAATCCTTAATGTCATCATCGGTCCACAGAAATTGCTTGTACTGTATCTGTATACTAGTGTAATGATCTTAAGGCAAACATTAAAAATCTAAACATACATTTTTAAGGGCTTTTGAATGAAATTCATTGACTCTATTATGTCATCTTCGAATGCTCTGACAAAAGATTTTTTCAGAATTGCATATGAACATTTGTATGAATATTTAACTGTTATAGTGACACGTTTATCTCCCAAGGCCTCAGCCTATCTTATCTAGCACCTGTACTGCACCCAACCATACTTTGGTGGTGACTCACATGGATTTACTATTGTTTATGGTTTTTTTTTCAGGCAAAAGCACCAAATGCTGTGGTTTTAGTGGTGGGAACTCACCTAGACTTCATAGAGACCAAGTTCCGTTTGGAAAGAATAGCCACCCTCCGTGCTTATGTGTTGGCTCTTTGCCGTTCTCCATCAGGGTCTAGGGCCACAGGCTTTCCAGATATAACCATCAAACACTTACAGTGAGTATTATCTGGTGTTTTTTTTGCCCTGTTCATTGTCTTAAAGTGTAAGTTTGGATTTTCAGAAAAAAATGAGAAAGAAAACTAACACCGTACACCCTCCCCATCCCCCGGTCCCCACTCTACCTACCTATGTGGGTTATGAACTGTCAGTGCTCAGACAGCCAGTGTGTTGACTCAGGGATGTGAAATCCCCACTTCCTCTTCCTTTCTGCAGGGCTTCTGGGAGGGATTAGAGAAAATTTGGTTGGTTAGTGCCAGCACACAGAATTGCTCTATCCATCATAGAAGCTCTTCAGGAAGAGAGAAGAGCAGGGATTTGAAATCCCCAGACCCCTTCACCAACTGCATGGGCACTGACAGCTCAGGAAGGTAGGAACAATGGGGACATAGAGGGTGGGGAGGGTGTAAGGGGTTTTCATTTTTTTCTGTTCAAGTGATTGCAAAGCAATTGTAAAGTGTTAGTAAATAAAAAAATTGAACAAAATGTCATACTTACCTGCTCTATGTAATGGTTTTGCACAAAGCAACCCCTCCTCTTCTCGGTTCCCCCACTGGCGCTGCTGACTCCTTTTCCCCGCTGAGTGCTGACATAGCAAGCTGCTTCCCATGGGGGCACTCATGTGTGCTCAATCCTCAGCCAGGCTCTGTGTCTATTCAGAAATACAGCCCGGCTCATCCCTGCCTCCTGCTCTCTGCTGACAGGTTTTGACTGACAGCAGCCAGGAGAGGGGAGAAGGGCTGCTGCAGACATGCACAGTGCTGGACCATGATCGGGTTCAGGGGGGTATATGGGGGGGGGGGGGGGGCTGGGGAAGAATCCACTATTAAGTTTTTTTTTACCTTAATGCAAAGAGTGCAGCTCTAGGTTTTACAGAGAATGGCTAGATCAAGGTTTGATCTAGGTCAATGTCATGGTTAGTGTTTTTAGTTCAAGTAAGGGTCAAAGTTCGGGATCAAAAGTAATGGTATTTTTTAGTTTTTTTTTAGTTTTTTCTTTTTATTTAAAAAAAAGCATTTTTAAGTTGGTGTCAGTGTCAGTATGTTTTAGGTAGAATTAAATAAGCAAAATGTGCACTATTGTTTCTGGGCTGTACTACGGGTACAAACAACTAACATACACATACGTAGTATCGCTGCAATCATCAGGGGCAGGAGAATTTATTTTTGGTTGTTCTATAGTGGCAGGTTATGATAGTAACTAGAAATATACAGCTACATGTAAAAAAATAATTTTTAATTTACTGTTTTTGGACAGCCTTCCTTTGATAATAAAAAAAAATCAGGAGCTATCTATTACCATTTACCACCAAATGAAAGCCCTATTTATCCTGAAACAAACGCGGTATAAGCCAACTGAATGCACAAAGTGGTTGTGATATGTACGGTTTTACTAGTTCAAAGTTGCAAAATTGTGTTCAGGCATTAACATTTGTTTTACCCTTTGTCACTAGGGGGTTAAGCCACCCAAAAGTATTGTTCTAGTTATAGGTGGAACCTGATGGACGGTGTCAGTCTTAGATTCTCAAAGCAAGATCTCCTAGACCAGTGGTCGGCAAGCCGCGGCTCGCGAGCCACATGCGGCTCTTTACACGCTTTAATGCGGCTCTTGTGTGCCGGGCGCCCGCTCCCCTCCCTCCTCTCGGGCGGCAGGGACTCTGCAGCGTGATCCAAAAAAAAAAAAACAGCCAGGGCAGCACGCTCAAATGCAATGATTGGCCAGTCTCGCTGCCACTCACATCCTGATAGCCAGTGATTGGCTGTCAGGATGTGTGTAGGCGGGGCAGCGTGATGAACGTGAGAGGAGCTAGGCTCCTCTCACAGTCCGCCCTGAAGACCGGAACGGCGCGGGAACACGGCGAGAGGAACGCGCGGAGCAAAGGTAAGTGAATTGACACAGGTGGGTCTTGGCTTACTACTTGCTACTTACTACTACTATATGAGGGATGAATTAATATGGGGGATGAATTACTATAGGGGGGATGAATTACTATAGGGGGGATGAATTACTATAGGGGGGATGAATTACTATATGAGGGATGAATTACTATGGGGGATGAATTACTATATGGGGGATGAATTACTATGGGGGTTGAATTACTATATGGGGGATAAATTACTATATGGGGGATGAATTACTATATGGTTTTTTTCCCCCCTTTTTTTTTGGATGAATTACTATAAAAACTTATTGAAACTAAAAACAGTGTACCATCCTATGTATTTTCAGTTTTAAAACTGTGGCTCTCAAAATAAATTTCAATCGTGGTTTTGGCGAGATTTGGCTCGGTTGAAAAAAAAAGGTTGCCCACCACTGGCCTAGACATACTCCCATACTCTGTTCCTTGGAATTTTTCGGGGCTCCTGCCCATTTAGCAGGGGGCATGAGAACCTCCTTATCATGGTCACAGCAGGTGTGCAGAGCAAGCAAGTGAGCCGATGACACCTTGAGAAATATAACAAACCATTAGGGCTCATTCACACATGTGTTGAGTATGCAGAACAAAGCAATGCTCATTAACGCTCCTGTGGCATTTATGACGTGTTTTCATTGTGTATATGAAGCGTTGAAAGCGCTTGCTTCAAGGATGCTCGATAAATGCCCTTGGAAGCATTGCTTTTCTAGTTGGAAGAGCTTAAAGGGGAAGTGATATAGAGGAAATGATCTCCTCTACATTTCTGTATAAGCTAAAATATATCAATATCAATTTATCAGTAATGAACTGACAAATTAGTTAATGAATTAATAGCTTATATCAGCATGCCAAAATGTGATATATTTATAATGAAATTACTTAATAATGAGATATGTGATTAGAGCTGCTGTTTTAAACAAATTGAAATACATATAAATATATGGAAATACCATAAAGAGCGCTGTTTATCCACTTGCCTACCAGGCACTTATACCCCCTTCCTTACCAGGCCAATTTTCAGCTTTCAGCGCTGCCGCACTTTGATTGACAATTGCGCGGTCATGCAACATTGTACCCATATGAAATTTTGATCATTTTTTTCTCACAAATAGAGCTTTCTTTTGGTGGTATTTAATCGCCACTGGGCGCTTTACTTTTTGCGCTATAAATTAAAAAAGTGCAAAAAATTTGAAAAAAAAAAAAGTTTCTTTGTTTCTATTATAAAATTTTTCAAACAGGTATTTTTTCTCCTTCACTGATGTGCGTTGATGAGGCAGCACTGATGGGCACTGATGGGCACTGATAGGCAGCACTAAAGGGCACTGATAGGCAGTACTAATGAGGTGGCACGGATAGGCGGCACTGATAGACAGCACTAATGAGGTGTCACGGATAGGCGGCACTAATATGCAGCACTGATAGGCGGCACTGATAGGTGACACTGATGATGGGTACTGATAGACGGCACTGACTGGCATCACTGCTGGGCACTGACTGGCGACACTGACTGGCACAACCCCTGGGCACTGACTGGTGGCACTGACTGGCAGCACTGCTGGGCTGCACTGGTGGGTGGCACTGGTGGGTTGCACTGGTGGGTGGGCACAGGTGGGTGGCACTGCTGGGCACTGGTGGGTGGCACCGCTGGGCACAGGTAGGTGGCACTTCTGGGCACAGGTGTGTGACACTGCAGAGTGGCACAGGTGGGTGCACTGCTGGGCACAGGTGGGTGCACTGCTGGGCACAGGTGGGTGATCTGCTGGGCACAGGTGGGCGGAGCTAGTGGGCGCACTGCTGGGCACAGGTGGCCGGAACTTGCGGGTGGCATTGCTGGGCACCGATCATCAGGGCACTGATCATCAGTGCCCTGATGATCGGTGCCGATCCCCGCTCTGACAACTGCCGGTTTTCAGCAGTACTTTCCTCACGATCTGACAGCGTGAGGAAAGTGCAGCAGAACCGACTTGAACCGGCACTTGCATTTCCCTGTGATCAGCGTGTCATTGGACACCGCTGATCACGTGGTAAAAGGCCGGTATGATTGGCCTTTTACCACATCACGTGATCAGCTGTGTCCGTAGGACACAGCGATCACGGAGATCGCTGGGTGGAACATGTAGCATGTTGCTAATGCTGCAGCTGCTGCTCCCCCCTCCCTCTGACTGTAGTACAGGGAGAGGTCCCCTTACTATCTGTCAGATTTGAAAACAGAGTGACCATGCGGGGCTCCGCTCACATGGCCGCGTCATTTATTCACAGAGTTCCGTGAATGAAAAGTAACGGCTGTCGGCTTGTAGTTTTTCAATAAATTTTCATTGAATTTTCCTGTCAGTATATCAGCTTGCTCATACATTCTGTATGCTGACAGATCTGCAGAAGACCTGCATGCCACCAGTGATCTACTGATCGCTGGTGCAATGCTTTACAGGCTCATGCAATCAAAAATAATAAATGCACATTTTTTTACCTGCAAAAAAAATGTGCATTTATTATTTTTGTGCAAAAAGGGAGTGTATGCTCATATTAAAATCACAATATATCACTTTTAGAATGCATCGGGTGGCCGGCGAACCTTCTTTCCTTCATAACAAGTATAGCAGCTGCTTTCCTAGTGTTACTGACAGGCACGATGACGTTCTCTACCTTACACATTACTCCTTAGGTGGGGCTTCATCATGTATATTTCTGTTGAAAAATGTTAGTTTAATGTGTAAATATGAACACATTTAGGTTTAGGAAGTCTCACTTCTAGTGCTACACAGTCATCTTTATATATCTGTTCTGCCAGGAAGGTGTCACTGCACACCACCAATCATAAGTGGCCAACCAGAAAGTAGGTCAACCACAAGTTTTTGCAGGTAAAAATATGTGCATTTATTATTCTTGGTTGTAGGAGCCTGTAAACCATTGCACCAGCGATCAGTAGATCCCTGGTACCATGCAGGTCTCCTGTAGATCTGTCAGTATATCTTCTTGCCCGTATGGGATTTACGAGCAAGCAGATATACTGACAGGAAGAATCAATGAACAACCATGGTGCTCCACAGCACTGTGGTAGTTCATTGGGAACTACAAGCCAACAGCCGCTAAGGCTGTCCGGGACTTGTAGTTCATTAATTTACAGAACTCTGTGAATCAATGACGTGCCGCGTGGGTGGAACCCCGCAGGGCCATGCTGTATTCAAAAAGTGATAGCTAGTATGGGGAACTTCTCCCCTTACTGTTGTCACAGGGAGGGGTGGGGGGGTCGGGTGGTTGCTGCAGCATTGAGAACATGTTACATGTTCCACCCTTAAAAACGGGTAGGACATGTAACATGTTCCCAAAGGAACTTATCCTTTAATTCTTTTGTGTTCAGCTGCTTAGTATATATACTTTTAACACTTTTTTTTTTTTTTTTTTTTGGCTGTGCAGTGACACATTATTTTGGCACTAGAAATTCTGCAGGACCCTCTGCACACTGGTATATACCGTTTCCAGCAGACTTTGCAATAAAGAATAGGGATATTTGGTTCACACATATTGCAATACATGCTTAAGCTGGCCAACTGCGTCAAAGTAAAATGTAATCCCTCTCTGGCCAGTCCTACTCTGCTCTGCCTATGCAAATGCTACTGTGTACACAATGCCAGTGCATTCAGGACTTTTTGGTTAGCTTTCATAAAGTGCACCTAACCCGTAGGATATAATAGAAGTCTCTGGCTAAGTGCAGCAGATCTGCAGGAACATTGCACTGCACCCGCGGGGTGGGTAAACCGCAGCACATCAGCATGAAAACAGCCCTATACTATTATGCCCAGTGTATTGCTTCACCCGAAGATCTCTTCTTTCCTGCTGCTGGCACCATCCTGGAGACCGCTAGCCAGGATGGGAGGAGGAGTGCAGTTGTTGGTATCACTCCGCAAGGGAAAGGAGCCAGCGCTGCAGAGGATGCATCTTATGCAGCTCCTGCTCCCTACTACACCTCCAACTTTACAAATAGTCTATCTGCATTGCACTCTGATGCTCTGGGATGGCGGGTCAGCAAACCTGGGCACCTACAAATTTTAGATCTATAGAGATTATTCTCATCTCCACTCCCAAGTCGCCTGAAGTTCAAAAACGTTTTGGAGCTACTTTTGTGGCTCAATTTGGGCAGATTTATGTGTTTTTAAAGTGGTTTCTTCTCTCTCTCTCTATATATATATAGTGTGTGTGTGTGTGTGTATATATATATATATATAATTTGTATAAAAATAAATATTATAATTAATGAATCCCCAATCCTTACAAAATAAATAAAAAATATAACCACCTACCCCTAACCAAAAGTAAATTAATTAATAAAAAATAAAATCAATTAACCTTTAACCCTAACCAAAAAAAATTAATTCATAGAAAAATTAAATTCTATATATATATCCCATACCCTTACACCTAACTGTAACCCTTACAACATAAACCTTATTCCTAACCCCTAACAAAGAAATAAAAAACAAAAATTCATAAATAATAAATGAATTATTGCTTGTTATTTAATTTAATACTTTAATAATAAATGTTTAGTTAACCCATAACTATAAATCTTAACCCCTAAGCCTAGCCTCTAACCCTAACAAAAAATATAAACACAAATTAATAAATAAAAAATAATAAAGAAAAGCTGATGAAAAAACTGAAAAACAGAGAAAAGATTATATTTTTTTCTATTGGCTAATAAAAAAATGTCAGAGCTCAACATTTTAAAAACTCTGTACAAAAACACAGGTCAAAGCACCAAAAAAAAACCCTGAAAAAACATGACGCTAAGGTGTGAATGCAGCTTGAATGCTGTAGGTGCTGTTAAGGTGTGGTTATAGGACATCACCTTTGAAATTAATGGAAGCAGTTGACAAGTGTTGATAACTCATGAAAATCATATGCTTCTTAATTTTCAACACGACACAACGCTACCGTTTCTGTGTGAACAGCACTGTGATTGTAATATTCATGGCAGGCATTGACGGGCCATTATAAGGCTTTAGAAATGCTGAATAAATGCCGCATAAATGCAGGGTACTGACACACCTCACGTGTGAACAAGCCCTTAGGTGACTTACCAAAATCTACAGCCACCTTGTGATCCTTGAATGAGTGTCCATTGGTTTTTCAATAGAATTTATAGATGAAAGTCAATGTTTTTGAATGCAGAAACAACGATTTCTGTGAAATTTTGCTCTCCCTTTTAGAAGTGTAGAATTAAACATATTGATGTATTCTGTTTGCCAGTGAGCTCTCCTGCAGGACGCTTGAAGGTTTTGGATGGATTACGACACCTGATCTTCCATGCCGCTTGCAATATGAAGGATGTGGGCAGCACCATTGGATCCCAGAAACTAGTTGGGAGGCTGGTAAATAATCTCTTCTACTTTTCAATGTAGTTGTGTACATTAGCTTTTAGTTTGCCCTTAATTTTCTTCTTTACGGAATCATTTATCTGCACCTTACAATATATGACAATCACACAAAGGGAACCCATCAGGTGATCAAACAAACCACGCCTCAAACCTGAGTGGCTTTTTCTCTAAATTAGCAGTACAGTGTGGGAGACTCAGTGACCAGTAAAGGCTCATAAACTGGGGGAAAAATAGGGTTCTAGATAGCTTGGTTTTAAGGTGGAATCTGTCAAAAAAGACAAGGCTCCCAGTGTATTGTGGGCCTGGGTTCTAGTGTCTCCCTGTGCCTGGAAGAGAACTAGTTATGGATTACAGCAGTACTCACCCAAAAATAACCTAAACATGCATAGTCCATACAAGATAAAATAACAAAACAAGTTTTTGCCTTCAATCCAAAGATGTCACAGGCAATACTTTGTTTGCTGCTTCTAGATTACATAGTTAGTCTGGCTGAAAAAAGACAAAAGTCCATCCAGTTCAACCATAGAAAAAAAAAAAAGTTATAATCCTATACCCACAGTTGATCCAGAGGAAGGCAAAAAAAACGGCAGCAAAGCATGATCCAATTTGCTCCTGCAGGGGGAAAAATTCCTTCCTGATCCCCTGAGAGGCAATCGGATATTCCCTGGATCAACTTTACCTATAAATGTTAGTATCCAGTCATATTCTGTGTATCCAAGAAAGAATCCAGGACTTTTTTGAAGCAATCCACTGAGCTGGCCAGAACCAACTCTTGAGGGAGTCTATTCCACATTTTCACAGCTCTTACTGTGAAGAAACCTTTCTGTGTTTGGAGATTTAAATTTCTTTTCCTCCAGATGTAAAGAGTGCCCCCTTGTCCTCTGTGACGACCTCAGGGTGAATAACTACACCGAGTTCACTATATGCACCACTGATGTATTATACATGGAGATCATATCCCCCCTTATGTATTATACATGGAGATCATATCCCCCCTTATGTATTATACATGGAGATCATATCCCCCTTATGTATTATACATGGTGATCATATCCCCCTTATGTATTATACATGGTGATCATATCCCCCCTTATGTATTATACATGGAGATCATATCCCCCCCTTATGTATTATACATAGAGATCATATCCCCCCCTTATGTATTATACATGGAGATCATATCCCCCCTTATGTAATTATACATGGAGATCATATCCCCCCTTATGTATTATACATGGTGATCCTATCCCCCCTTATGTATTATACATGGTGATCATATCCCCCCTTATGTATTATACATGGTGATCATATCCCCCCCTTATGTATTATACATGGAGATCATATCCCCCCTTATGTATTATACATGGAGATCATATCCCCCTTATGTATTATACATGGAGATCATATCCCCCACTTATGTATTATCCATGGAGATCATATCCCCCACTTATGTATTATCCATGGAGATCATATCCCCCACTTATGTATTATCCATGGAGATCATATCCCCCACTTATGTATTATACATGGAGATCATATCCCCCTTATGTATTATACATGGAGATCATATCCCCACTTATGTATTATACATGGAGATCATACCCCCCTTATGTATTATACATGGAGATCATATACCCCTTATGTATTATACATGGAGATCATATCCCCCTTATGTATTATACATGGAGATCATATCCCCCTTATGTATTATACATGGAGATCATATCCCCCTTATGTATTATACATGGAGATCATATCCCCCCCTTATGTATTATACATGGAGATCATATCCCCCCCTTATGTATTATACATGGAGATCATATCCCCCCTTATGTATTATACATGGAGATCATATCCCCCCTTATGTATTATACATGGTGATCATATCCCCCCTTATGTATTATACATGGAGATCATATCCCCCCTTATGTATTATACATGGAGATCATATCCCCCCTTATGTATTATACATGGAGATCATATCCCCCCTTATGTATTATACATGGAGATCATATCCCCCCCTTAATTTCCTCTTCTCAAGAGAGAATAAATTCTGTTCCTCTAATCGTTCCTCATAGCTGACCTCCACCATTCCTCTTATCAGTTTGGTTGCTCTTCTGTGCACTCTATCCAGTTCTTCAATATCCTTTTTGTGAATTGGTGCCCAAAACTGAACTGCATAGCCAGGAATAATAATAGCCCAGTCATGTGTAATCTCCTCTTCTCAAGAGATGTCCTTAGTTTGATGTCAAGCATCATTCAACTTACTTGCTCTGTGTAATGGTTTTGCACAGAGCAAACCCAATCCTCCTCTTCTCGGGTCCTCTGCCGGCGCTGTCTGCTCCTTCCCTTTGCTGAGTGCCCCTTTAGCAAGCTGCTTGCTATGGGGGCTCTGATGTGTGTTCGCTCCTGAGGCATATCTGTGTGTCCATTGACACAGAGCTTAGCTCAGCCCTACTCCCTCCACACTGGCTGTGATTGACATAAGTAGGAGCCAATGGCTCCCACTGTTGTCTCTGAGCCAGTGAGGAGAGAGAGAGCCGAGAGAGCCACTGTTCTCGCTCTCATCGCTGTATCGAGATCGGATTCGGGGATTTAGGAGGGTAAGCAGCATGCTGAAGATTTTTTACCTTAATGCAAATAATGCATTAAAGTGGTTGTAAGCCCCTTACAGATACCCAGTGAAGTGACTGAAGTTGTACCCTACAGCTGTCTTTCCCCTACATTCTTTCAAAGTGCAGAATATACACAGAATTTCAGCTCTGGAAAGCAGGAGGTGGGGAGCTGAAGTTACATCAGTAGGAAGAGAGCTGATTAGAGGGAAGGAAAACATCCCCTTCATACAGCACACAGGAACAGAGCTGAGGATGTCAATCATGGGCTGTGCCCTGCCCTGTCACCATTTTTTTTCTTGGTGTCCAGAAAACTCATCAGAAGTGACTCATGCAGATAGCAGAGGAAGGGGTGCAGCAGTTAGAAGTTGCACTTAGTGCTCTGGATTGAGACAAGTACACACTATAGAGGGATAGGCTTTATTCATATTTCATGTCTGAGGTTTACAACCATTTTAAGGTAAAAAAAACTTTAAGGCTTTAGAACCACTAGCGTTTTTTTTTAAGCTCAAAAAACACCATAAAAATGCTGCTAATAGCATTTTTTAGGAGGGTTTCAGTAGCATTTAGAAGCACTGCCATTTTGTTAGCTTTTTTACAGCACATGTAGGGAAGAAAAAGCTAGAAAAAAAAGCTGATAGGAGCATTTAGGAGCGTTCAGCATTGTTCTTCTGCTGGGAAAACACTCCCAAAAACTCTACAAAACCATTTTTTTCTGCTTCTAAGATTTGAAGCTTGTAAAACATTACTAGACTAAACTAGTGTGCATGGACACATAGGAGAACACTATTTAGCTTCTAGGAGCAGAAAAAAATGCTGATAATAGCTTCTAGGAGCTTAAAAAACACTAGTGTGTTCTGTTCTGTCTCTCCAATCTAAGCATTGAAAGTGTGATCTCTGTAACTTCCAGTTGTGATAAGATAGCGATAACTTCAATCTTAGTTGAATAACACAGGCAGTGACTCCATCCATGCGACACCTTGTAGATCTTGTGAAGTTTATTCCATAACCTAAGACAATTTTACAACAATGAACATCGGATAGGTCAAAAGATCATATTGAGAACTACTTCATGACATGAGGCTTGAAGCTGAAATGCATTACTGGGAAAAGGGGTGGGGCTATCTATACAGCATGAAATAAATAAATATAGAAAAGGTCCCCTGCTCTCCACAGAATCTTTAATCAAAGCCAGCTGCTATCACCTTTTCCCTATACCACAGGATATGTGCAAATAGCAAAAAATATATATATTGTGATGAAGTGCTCAGCTTATACAGTGTATAAAAAACAATGAATACATAAAATCCCTTCTAAAATAATAAATATTGTGACAACAATAATGGATAAGTGCTCACATACACATAAATTATACAAAAACCATTTATGAATAACTAGTGCCAATTCTCACTCCTATTAAGCCACCTAGTGGTCACCAAAACCAAGTGAAATATATCATGAAGTAGTAACACTTGTTCTGTGCAAAGTGACGGGTGTATCCAATTAAATAAAATAAATCAAAAAACAGTCCAAATAACATGTGATACCAAACTGTGCAAATAATAAATGTTCAGTACACAGTGATTCACAACTTCACTGTCAAGGTCCTACCTTTTCCCAGAGACTGTGCGGCTTCATGTACTGGCGTCCATCTTGGGTTTCTGCAGAGCATGGTGGGAGTCTTTTATGCCTTCAGGTCTCTGAGGTCCATCCCCAGAGGGCTGTGGCTGATTACATATAAGCCTGTGGTCCGCACATGCTCTTTGCACTTGTGTCGCTACAGCTCTGTTCATACTCTCGTGACTCTCCTGAAATCTGACTCGGCTTGTGACTAGACCATTCTCTGTGTTTTCCTTTGATCTGACCTTCTGTTGCTGAACCCGGCCCGTGACGTGTGATTCTTGTCCACTGTTCTGTACCGTTTTGTCCCGTTTATTGACCCGGCCTGCCTGACTACGCTATTGTCATTCCTACCAGCTACACGCCATTGGCGGCGGCCATTACTGCAGCCGGGTGTCTCGTGGGCCGCGACCTGGTTCCTGGCTGCGTCAAGTCCATCCCCACCATCAGGCGCCCTGGTGAAGGGCAGCCTGGGACTTAGACTCCGAGCCCTGAGGGACTTCGGTCTGTTGGTGGTGGTTGCCGTCAGTCAGTGCATTTACCCTGCCACTAGGCCTACCTGTCCATTCCACAGCCCTGCCCTGACATTCACTCCATGCTGCAAACGTGCTCCTAGTGACACTCTGATGTGACCCCCCTGGATTTAGCCAAAATGCCTCCTCACCTTCCAAATTCGACCCTTGCGGGTCATAAAGCCTTAAGTGTAAAGAATCTCAGCCTGG